ACGACGACGAGTGAAACCCCAGCTCGCAGGTCACCTATATTCCGACGGTCGCAGTCGCTGGGGTCTACAAGATACTTCTTCGTACGCTGTGCAGTCGCACATCGTCGCTCAGTCAACTGAGTGAAGTGGTTGTCGTCCCCGTATTCGCAGTCTCAAGTACCTCGTGCGCTGTCTTCGTGATCCTCGTGTCTGCTAGAACATCGTGGACGTTCCACGATGAGCGTATCCCCAAGCACACGGAAGTCTCCAGTCGGCGCTCAGTCTTTGCGTCTGTGGTGATCATCGTGCCAGCGTTTCCTTGCAAAAATACTTGCTCGTGCACTTGTCGCGGAGTTTGGTCTCTGTGGGAATCGAACGCACGCGTACTGCGCGTAAGCATGCTCCGTTACCCGCTCACACGACGTCGCAGAGATTTTGATGCGCCTCAGGACAATTTTAAAGATCCAAGCTTCACTCCACCAGAACGTCACCTGGCGCCTCGAAGCCCACGTGTGTCGACACCAGCGCCAGCGACGGTGGCCTCCAAGCTGTTGTCTGAGATGGCTTCTCGCTCTGCACGCTCGCTGCCGAGCGTGGTGTCTCTTGTTGATACGCCAGTGGCTTGATGTCGTGAGTGTCGCCGATGTCGCCGCTGTCTTCGCCGTTCCAGCCGTCTTCTCCAATTTTCTTCATCAGTGCTCATGTTGCGTAAGTGCAACTTAAGAGGGGGGTAATCTAATGGGCCCCTCCATTACATAAGTAGGTAGATTTCTTTACATAAGTAGGTGCATCAGCACACGACTAGCGTGTGCTGAAATACTGACATGCCATTGGCTGATATATGGGGAGCCAGACCCATTATTAGCCAATTGGACTATGACGTGTATTTGAGTGGCCAGGGCTGTGGCCTTGGTCCTAAAATAAAGTCAGAGTTGTTTTTCCTTAAACCTAAGACTCAGTCGTCCTATTGCGAGCTTCCTCAACACTATAGCAAGTAACGGAGTAAATACCAGGCCCGTTACACAGGTGACCAAAAACTTGTCTTGGTACTTCTGGTCCACTCTGTACCGTAGCACGAAATCACCTACGCTGAAATTGGCCTTTTTCGCTCCATGTTGCATGTCTTTGTTCC